GGGTGGTGGGACACTGGAACAGGTTGGCCAGGGAAGTGGGGAATGCCCTGTCCCTTGAAGTGTTTGAGGTCAGGTTGGACGGGGCTTTCAGCAACCTGATCTAGTGGAAGATGTTCCTGCCCATAGCAGGGGTGTTGGACTAGATGATCTTTAATGGACCCTTCCAACCCAAACCATTCTGTGATTCTATGATTCAGCAGCCCACACTGACAGTCAGTGTGTGGATAGCAAGCCAAATGTAGCTTTAAGGTCCCTTCCAACCTAAACCATTCTATGAACCTGTGGCCTGAGACCCCATTGCCACCCCCCAGCTCTTTCTGACACCCATGGGGCAAGAACATCTCATAACGCCCAGATAGTCCCACTTCTGGCTGGGGACAATAACATCCTTGCTTGATGGGTCATCACCTCACCACCAAGCATCATCAAGGTTTAGCACTGAGGCTGATGACCATCCACCTCCATTCCCTTGCCAGATCCACCATCCTGCAGGAGAGCAAATCCCTGCTGAAGAGCCAGACTGTGTCAGACCAGGCAGTGGCAGAAGCCCTGTGTGCCATCATGCTCCTGGAGGACAGCTCTCCACGCCAGGCCCTCACCGACTTCCTTCTGGCCAGGAAGCTGGCCATTCAGCAGCTTCTCAACCAGCCACACCACGGTCAGTATGACTGGGCTGCCTCCTTTTTAAAGTCATGGTAGCCCCCTTTGCTTCATCTCCCTCTTGCCCCACAGAAGAGTAGGTGGGTTAGTCCCATGAAGCTCATGGTGGTGGGGACTCAGCCACGTCATGCTACTGCAGTGAGACCACCGGCAGCATTTTGCCACAGTGGCCAAATGACACAGAAAATTCACAGTGCTCCAGGTCTTAAGCCCAACCAATGTGCTGTGGGGAAGCAGGTGGTGCTCAGGGCTGAGCCCTTTACCCTTCAGCCCTTCCCTGGAAGGTCTCATTAGAACCACAGGCCCTGAAACCCTTGTCTGCTCCCACCTCTGTTGAAGGTGCCTCAGCTGACAAGCATTTCTCTGCAGGTGCAGGTATCAAAGCCCAGGTGTGTTCACTGATGGAGCTGCTCACCACTACCCTGTACCAGGCTCATGCTCTCTTTTACACCATGCCTGAAGGGACACCACCAGATCCAGCCCTGCCCTGTGGCTTGCTTTTCTCAACCCTGGAGAGCACCACAGGCCAGCACGCAGCCGGTGAGCGCCCGGGCAGCTCTGCATGAGGTCTCTGCCTGCCTGGGTTTGCAGACAGGAGGCCACCCCCATGCTAGGCTGAGCCCTGATCATGTGCTTCTAGGGAGAGGTGGGGTTCTGGAGGAAGAGGTGAAGCTGAGCAGCTGGTTCAAGTACCTCCCAGAGTCTGTGGTGGAGTTCCAGCCAGCCCTGCGGACCCTGGCACACCCCATCAGCCAGGACTACCTCAGAGACACGCTGCAGAAGTGGATCACCATGTGAGTGGGACAGCACCCCCCTTTGCAGGGCTCTCCCAGACACCACACAGCCTCTGTGCCAAGGCAGCAGCACAAAACAAACCCAAGGTCACCTATTTCCTCCCTCACTCCAGCCAAGCTGCACCTTCTGCTGGCTTCTTGCCCAGCATCCCTTCTCCCCAGCAATAAACCAGCTAGAGGCTGCACAAAGAGATTTCTCCAGAGCTGCTTTACACCACCAGCAAACAAGCACAGAGTAAATGAGAAGAAAATCCCTTACCTGGCTCACTTGGCTCCTGGTCCAGCAGCTCCTCTCTCCTCCCTGCCCTTCCCTAGACTGGTTTTTTTTAGGGTGGGGGGGGAGCAGCCAGACCCCTTTTATAGAGCTGCCAGCTCCACCCCTTCCCACCTTGCCTTGCTCTGTGGATGGGGACAGCCTGCAGCCCTGCCTGCCCCTTAACAGCCTCCTCAGTCCTGTCTCATTATCTGCTGGAGCCAGCTGGTCCCTGCCCTCAGCTGCAGCCCCCCGTGGTGTGCTTGCTGGTTATGGGATGTTTCCCCAGCAACCCTTCCCAGAGCCCTCACCTGCTCTCTGGCATCCTGGGGTGCCATGCTTCTGGATTTGGCACCTGCCAGAGCCCAGGGTTCCTGCCGGTGGGCACGTGGCTTTCCTGTGGGGCCACAGTGTGGGATCCAGGGTGCAGCTGCCTCACAGAGAGGCAGAGACCCCCCCCCCGCCCAGCCCCGCAGGTGACTCTGCAGGCAGAGCCTCTGACCCAACAGGTTAAGAATTCCAACAGATTAAGAATTCCCCCACCTGGCTGTAGCTGATGTTCTCTCCTGCCTTCCCCGGGGGCTGTGTCTGAGCAAGTCAGACTGAAGTGAAACGTTCCCTTCAGGTGCAGTGATGACATCAGGGCCGGGGTCAGCAACCTGCTCGTCTACGTGAAGAGCATGAAAGGGCTGGCGGGGATCCGTGACGCGGTGTGGGAGCTGCTGACCAGTGAGTCCATCAGCCAGAACTGGGAGGCCGTGTGCCAACGCCTGTTGGACAAACCTGCTTCCTTCTGGGAGGACCTGCTGCAGAAACTCTTCCTGGACAGGTTAGAGGTGAGTGCTCTGCTGCAGCAATCCATGAGGAGCCTTGCTTTGTGCCCCCTCTTGTCTCAAACAGCCCACTGGTGTCTGTGAGCAGCACTGTGTGTGTGTTTTAAGTGGCAGGAGGCACATGTAAAAGGTGTTTTTATTGTTTTTTTTCTCCAGACACTGACCAAAGAAGGGTTTGACTCCATCTCAAGCAGCTCCAAACAGCTTCTCACCTTAGCCTTGCAGGAACTTGAAGTAAAATCTAACACCTCTGCCCTGAGCAAGCACATCCAGTTTGAACACAACGTAGCCCTGTTCCTGTGGTCGGAGAGCTCCAGTGATCTGCCTTCCGACGCCGCTTGGGTCAACGTGGCAAACCGTGGCCACTTCACCAAGAGTGGCTTGTCCATGAAGGCCCAGGCCCTCACACCGTGCGTGCAGAGCTTCTGCTCAGCTCTGGACTCAAAGCTGAAGGCCAGGTTGGATGATCTCCTGTCCTACCTTCCTGCAGACTCCTCAGCCACCAAGGAGGCTGCTCCTGTGGTGCAGCCACCACGCTCTGCCTTTGACCGCTACGCCGACGCCGGGACGGTGGAGGGGCTGCTCCGCGACCACTGCGTCGCCTGCATCCACCATGTGCTGAGCTGTGTGCGTGAAGAGCTCCAGAGTGCCCAGAGCCTGCTGGGGGGGCAGGTGGATGTTCCCAGTGATGCCAGACTCAATGCTGTCCTCTTCATGGCAAGACTCTGCCAGTCCCTGACCGAGCTCTGCCCTCACCTCAAGCAGTGTATCCTGGGCCGGTCGGGCAGCGCGGAGACGGTGCTGAAGGAAACTCGTTCCACCAAGAAGCTGGGGAAGGGGAAAGCCCAGGAAGTGACACCCACACAGGCCAAGTGGCAAGGGGTGAAGGCAGAGCTCCTGCAGCAGAGCCTGTTTGCTTACCAGATCTGGAGCTCGGCTGTCACCAAAGTAAGGAGCTGCTTCTCTTGTGTCAGCTGCTTCCTGCCTGGGTTTTGCTCGCTCAGCTCCCCGCGGTCAGCGCGGCTGCTCCTAAGCTGAGGGCTGAGAGCTCATGGTGCTGCTGCCACGCTGCTCAGTCAGCCTGCAAGGGAGAGGAGGTGGTGGCAGCTTGGAGGTGGCATCCAGTGGGATGGTCTCCATAGGACTGGGGGGATGCAGGAGGTCCATCTCTCTGTCGTGTCACCGAGTGCTTTTGTGTTTTGCACTCTAGGGTTTGGTTCAGTGCTTTACCCGCACGTTGCTGCTCGATACAGCTGGCTCTGTCTTGGCCACAGCCACCAACTGGGATGAAATTGAAATTCAGGAGGAGACAGAGTCTGGAAACAGCGTGACATCAAAGATCCGGCTGCCTGTGCAGGTACAAAAAAAAAATGTCCTTTTGGTAAATCCAGAGAAACTTTCTGCTGGGAGGAAAAAAAAAAAGTGCTGGTTTCTAAAAGCACTGCTTTGTCAGATGGTGCCGACCTGCTGCGTGTGTGTCTGGTGTGACACACACAGGGCAACACTCTCTGCTGCTTCTATTTGCTCTTTGAGCTACTCACCTCCTAAGGACAGATATCAGAGGAAGGACATTAAGATAGTTGCTGCTGCATATTTAAATGAGTGAGATTGGCCCAAATCCTGTAAAACTGGGTGAAAGAAGGACTGGTTTATACACACAGGCCCCCAGGAGAGAGATTTCATGGAAACTGGCTGCACTGAAGGACAGGGCTGCAATGCTGGGACTGTGCAAAGCCTGAGGGAACTGAGGCTTGTAGCTTTCCTTAGGTGTGGTGGTGCAGGAATGACACTCACAGTGACAAAGCAGCTGGCGGTCATGTGGAGGGAGAGGAGGGACAGAGACACAGTCTTTTGTAGTGAACCTTAAAAGATAAATTTTGTTGATTCTGAAAGAAAAAGCAGCCAGATGAGAGCTCAGGATAGCTGGAAGGCCCAGGAGAAGAGCGAAGGAGTAAATAATGAGCCCAGGTAGTGGGTGGTCAGAGCAGGGTCAGTAGTGACTGAAGAAGCACAAGAAGTAATTCTGTTCTGACTACACCCAGGTGAGTATCTCTGGTAAATTACTCGTGGAACTTTGAGGACTGCTATAACCACAACTCTGCTGTGTCAGTAAATAAAAACCCCGTAGGTCTCAGCAGCAGAACTTTGTGGTTGCTGAGGAAGTAGGAAGCCCACATCATGAGAACTGAAGCGATGTTGTGCTGCTGATAAAGCTAAGGTAGCTTACAGACCACATTAAAAAAGAACACTGTTCTCTTTAACAGCCATCCTGGTACGTCCAGTGCCTCCTCTTCAGTCTGTGCCAGGAGGTGAACCGGGTCGGTGGTCACACCCTTCCAAAAGTCACCTTGCAGGAGTTGCTGAGGATGTGCATGGCAGAAGTGCTTGCTGCCTATGAAACACTCGTGGAAGAGAAGCAGGAGAAGGTACGTGAGGAGAATCAGCCCTTGCTCCAGCTGGGGTGGGACAGGAGGGTCGCTGGGCAGCGGTGATGTGTACGCTCCTGTCCCTTGCCTGTGAGAGCTGGAAAGGGTAAGTACATCCTTCCCCTGCCTCTCCCAAAAATGAGGTAAAAAAGGGATCAGACACCAGATTTCCATGGTCAGAATTGTTCAGTTAGTTGGTTTTTTTGGTGCTGGTGTTTTTAAACCTGAAGCAGTCCTTGACAGCCCTCTCTCCCTGATCCTGACTGTCCTGTTTGCAGAAAGCAGGCGCCTTCCCCATGACCCAGAACAGAGCTCTGCAGTTACTCTACGACCTGCGGTACCTGAGTATCATCTTGACGGCAAAGAGTGAGGAAGCAAAAAGCAGCAGGATCAAGCATGACTCCAGGTGTGGTGCAGTTCTGGAGTTCAGACACTAACAGTAGATTTTTGAGGTCCCCAAAACAGTTTAAACCAACAGCCTCACTGGGGGATGCCTCGGTAATGGTGCCTTTGGGCCTCAGGGGAGAAGGACTGTGCAGACTCTAAGCTCTGACACCTTCATCCACACTAAGCTCATCCTCAAAATACAGAGGAAGGGGTGGGATTGTGCAGCTGAGATCTCAGAGACAGCAGACTGGTCCCTGCTGCTTGTGAACACCATGTCCATATGGCATCAGGGATATTGTCAGGATGCCCCTGCAGAGAACAATTAAGCTTCCACCCAAGAGTTCACACCTTGTGTATGCTCCAGCCTTTGAGAACTGAGGCCTTTCACTCTCAGACGTACCACAGGGAGAAGGTTCCTCTGCAAAAGCAGACGTTGTAGGTCACCTAACAGCTGGAAACCCTTCGGGCAGCTGCTGCTCTGCTGAGTAATTCTTGTTTTGCTCAGTCACCTCTTAGGGGCAAGTCCTTCAATGTTTCAGAAGGACCCTGTTGTCATCAGCAGCTGTCACTAGGCTGTAACCCCTGACAGGACTCTGCTCTGCTCACAGGATGGAGAAGGTGACAGACTTCCTGGAAGGACACATCGATCCCTTTGACTTGGACGTTTTTACTCCACACTTGAACAGCAACCTCAATCGCCTGGTTCAGCGAACCTCCGTAAGTTCAAGGGATGGATCAGGAAGCAGGGCTGCAAAAACACATCTTGAAGGGCAGCTGGGGTGGCTTTAGAAACTGCTTAATGCCTAAAGATAACTACTGGCACTTACTCAGAAATGGGAAGAGTATTTAATGCCAGCTGAAGATAAGAGGAGCTTGCTGAGCTGGCTGCACAGCACATAATCGTGCATGGAGTTGGCTGAACTTTATCTAACAGGATTCACTAGAGCCTGTGCAACACTAATAATGTTGAAACAGGTTAAATAATGGGTTAAATAATGCTGAAACAAGCTTAGAACTCAGCTACAGCAATAACGAGCAGAGCCAATTAAAAGCAAGACTTAGAGGGGTGTGATAGTTTAACTTAGCTGGCAGCCAAGGGAGATACTTCACGTTCAGACTTAAAACCCATCACAAGTGGTGTGCCAACAGACTCACCAGCAATGTATTGCGTATCCCCAAATACAAACAGCTCCTTCCTGCCTCCTAGGTTCTTTTTGGCTTGCTGACTGGGACAGAGAACCAGTACACGAGCAGGAGTGGGGCTCTGAGCTCCCAGGAGCTCCACAACATCTTGCCGTTAGCATCCAGCCAGATCAGGTAAGGTACTCGGCTCCTCTCTGCATTCTCAGGTCTCTTTGAGTTGCTGCTTCCTTGTGACTGGCTGAGTTTCTTTCTTCCATCTCTTAAGATTTGGGCTTTTGCCACTGAGTATGTCGAGCTCACGGAAGAGCAAGTCTGCTACCAGGAGTACAGAAAGAGTTCAGGTTAGTAAAACTGAACCCTATTAACTTTTTTCCCCCCCAGTGCTCATTCTCCCACCAACACTAGAGATTGCAGGGAAAGAAGAAAGTAGCCAAACAGTTAGTATTTAACCTGATTTTTATTTTGGGTAAAACAAGAGAACCATTATGGTAACAGAGCATGAGATGGGTTTGGATTTCCCCTTGACCCTCAAAAAAAAAAAAAACCCCCAATGGCCCCTGTATTTTTGGGACCCTCTGCTCTGTGGTAAAACACCGGCGATAACTACCATGAAAATGCAGTGAAAATTTACACAGATGAGGCATTTTGAGATCAATGCATAAAAGATAATTAATTTAAAGATGGCTGCAGGAAACACTGAAGGATACTAGCTAATTATTTGACCTCCTTTCCAGTGTGATGCTGACCTTTAGCTCCTGACGAAGCCTGGCTTGGGTATTTCAGTCTGTGTGAACAGAGTGGCTTGCTTCTCTTGCAAAGGCTCTGCGTTGTCCTGTTGCTGAGTGGGATCAGTAGACAAATGTTGTTACATTTCCCCCCCCCCAGTTTAAAACATCTGCTTAAATGGAGTTCTTTCTGCTGAGGATTGAGAGTGCTGAGGAATACCTCACCCCACAGGAAGCAGTAATTAGTAATCTCTTCCCTTTAGCTATTATTAACCCAGTAATCCTTCTGCGGTGATGTCTTCTTTTCAACTGGGACAGAAGAGTAAAGGTCTGGTTTTATCAGAGCAGAGTGTTGTTAACTGGAGATGCTGATGGTTACTCTGCAACTCTTCTTCTCCTTTATTCAGAAGCAGTAAGGACCAGACGTAGTCTTAAGGGTTGTTTAAAAGCCCAAAGCTTCACCAGAAAGGTATTCTTTACCTCTCACCCCTCAGCTGTGGTAGAGTGTAGAAGTGTGTGGTGATACCTGGCTCGCTCCCCTCGCCTGCTGTGATGGCACGCCTGTGTTCTGTGCTAGCCACGCTTCTGAGGATCCCTGACAGATGCTTGCTCCTTCTTTTTTTTTTTTGCTTAAAACAGTTCTTGTTATGATAAAACAGTTCTGGAGAGGTTAAAGTCCATAGTTACTCAAAAACAGCTCTCTGGAAGGACAACAGCTGTACTCTTCCCATGCTCCGGGAGAGCAACAGCCCCTTCCCTGCAGTTCAAAATGACTTTTTTTTACCTTTTTTTTTGAGCATTGAATGACATCTGAAACGTTCCCTGTTGCTACCAGCAAAGGGCTGTGCTCCTGCCACTGGGAACCTCTGTTTGTCACTAACCACCACAAGTGACACCGCTTAGGTTTGTGGTTCCATCTCCAGTTGCCCAGGAAAAAGCTGTTGTGCTGTAATGTTCACCTCCTTGCAGCTGCTGTAGATGAGGGGATGGAGGGAGTTCACTCAAAGGTGATGTCAGTAGTTACAGACAACTTTTGTTTTTAATAACTTCCCAGGTTCTACCTCCTGCGCTCACAAGAGCAGAAGACGAGGCCTCGCGCCCCGGCTCTTTGTTCAGGCAGCTGGTAAGCGAGGAGGAAGACACAGCTGCACCTTCTCTCTTCAAGCTGGGATGGCTTTCGGGCATGACCAAGTGATGCAATAAAAGAAATACAAAGTTTGTCTGTGTTTTTGTCTCCATGGAAATCACTCTGTCCCCTGGGCAGGGATTGGTGACACCTCTGCTGGTATTGTCAGATCATGCTATGCCACTTGAACCAGGCGCAGGATTGTCCTTGCCATCTGGCTGCTGGAATAGAGGTGTAGCTTCTCTTTCACCTCCTGTTCCTTCAAAGTTGTTAACCTTAAAGTCAAATTAAAGAGAAAAAAAAACCACAAACCAAAACAAAACCCAACAACCTACAGACTGGAACAGGAAACAAAACACTTCACAGCTAGAAATGGGTACTGGAGCTATGTCAGACTGCTCCAAAAGCCTCTCCCCAGGCTCCTGTTCTCCATCAGCACCACGAATCTGCTCTCTAAATGATCCCAGCAGGCACCTGACATTTCAGCTACAGCTGCCTAAAGCTTTCCTGCTTCTAGTTTCACATTTATTTATTTATTTTTTGTTTGTTTGTTTGTTTTCAGTACTGCAACAGTAAAGATCAAGCGAGATAAGGCTCATTGCACACCAAACTGGGTGGAAAGTTCCCAGCTGGAGCAGTCCTATGGGATTCCAGTGACAGCACCTAATCTTACTAACTCTTAAATGCTCAAAAAACTTATGTTGTCAAATAAATTTTTGACTAGTTTATTGAAATTTAAAAAAAAAAAGATTTCTAAAACTGAAGATGAACTTTTGAGAGAACTTTACATAAAGCAACAAATTGCTAACAAACAGGTCAGGCAGTCGATTGGAATTGGACATTTTGCAATCCTATAACACAGATGTGGATTCCTCTGTCTCTCCTCTTGACACCTACTTTATAACCACCCCCCCGCCCCCTCCAAAAAAAAAAAGAATCCTATAAAAATTGCTTCAAAGCCCCTTTTGCATTGCAATAGTGCAGCAAACCACAAGTAAACAATTTTCCTGTTAACCTGTTATTTCAAATATAGACTGAAAAGGCAACAGGCGTTTTGTGCAATTCCATTTTAACAAACTTCTTGTTTCTTTTTTTAAGTTGAAATATCAAATCTACACAGTGCTGTCCCTTCACAGAAGGCAGGGAACTGCTGGTTCATCATGTTGGAAGGCGTCCCCGGCTCTGTAAGCTGTGGAAGTGTGCTTCCTTCAAAATCTGGTTGATGTGGAAGTAAGGACCTTGGCTTAGTGCAGATTGCTCATGGAAGGACTGAGAGGAGATGGGACTGGATCCCGTAACGATGGGGTTGTGGTTGGTTTCTGCACCGCACGCTCTGTCAGGGCTGTTGATGCTGCTGCTGCTGCTACAGTTGCGGCTGCCGCTATCGCTGCTGGAGGACTGAGACAAAGAGAAGGTTCAACAGCAACATCACGCACGAGTTTTCTCTCCTAGCCATCAAGAAACACTTCAGGTAAGCAAACCATCTCAACAACAAAGTCCCTCCCTTGTACGTTTTCAGGTTGATGGACTAAGATAAACCCACCAAGTGCTTTCTTGGCATTCAGAGCTTTGGTTACTGCCAACACACCAACAGAGCTGAAGGGATGAGCAAAGCCTTCACCCAGAGGTTGGCTGACCTCCAGGACACTGCCTTTCAGGCTTTCCATTTTAGACCCACCAGCTCTGCCCCCATGACCCACGTTAGCACTAGTGAAGTTTGCTGAATTCATCTGAGAATTGGAAAATAAAGACCATTCCTAGGGAATTGTAGGTGTCAGTAAGAGCAAAGGCAGGGCACGGGGGGAAACGTGTAATCGCTTCTGTTCTAGCAGGTATTTGAGGTAAGCACCATGCAAAAGCATTTTCCTACAAGTCAAATCTTTCTAAAATGAGATTTGAAGCATCCAAAAGCAACAGGCTGTTAAAAAAAACCAAAGGCAACACCCCAGACATACACACAACTCCTCTTTTCCCAGTTAATTGCTGAGACAGCCAAGTTAACTGGGAGTTTTCTATAACAATTTACTTGCCAGGGCAGTGAAAGAGCCATGGGCACTGAAAACCTTCACATGCAGGAAAGAGAACTCATGATTTGAGAACTCATTTGCCAGCGTTTAGGAGAAACACATTTCACTGGAAGAGCATTAGCCATCGTTTCCAGTGTTTCAAAGACATAAACCTGTTTGGTTTACACCATATTAAGGGCTGTTAATGAAAAGTTCCATTAGTTACAGCTGAAATATTTCATTATGCTGTTCAGGACAACACTGCAAATGTTTAGGTGCTTAAGAAATCAGGGAATGGCTATTTTGCCATCCCATAAGAAGTAAATTCATAAAAGCAGCCAAAGTGTCAGTGACAACAGCTTTAAAAAATAAAAAAAAAGTCCAAATTTGTTGTTAAGTATTAAACTAAAACCACAGAAATCAAAGCTTGGTGGCCACAGCAGAAGAAGACAAATTTGAAGAAGTCCACAGTAATTTAAGAGTCAGCACCACATCCAAAAAGCCTCATTTTTGGAATAAATCTGAAGAATAGTGCAAACTGCACCCAACACATCTGTCAACGAGCAGCGAGAGAGGCCCAGGAAGGCACTGCATGAAGATTTGAGGTGAACCACATCTCAATGCCATTGGAAACCCCACGGCACTGATTCCACAATCAATTGTGACAATTCAGCCACGTAAATTTCCTTGGTTTTGGGTTTGGTTTTTTTTTTTTTGCTAAGCACCAAAACAAAAGCTTCAGTTCTGTGGTAGGAGAGCAAGCGAGACAACAGCACTGAGGCTGCACCCCCCACGTGTTAGCTTCAGCTAGCAAGGAGGAAAAAACCAACAAAACACAGGTCAAATCACTCCTGAGGAAGCAGCAGATAGAACTACACGAGCAACCAGCTCCTCTTCCTAAGGCTGGAGAGGGAGGGATGAAGAGGAGCCAGGAAATGGTGCTTTCTAGACCATCTCACTTTGCTTAGAAGCACAAATAACTGAAATGAGACGCTGTGAACGCTGCACAAAGTCACAGCAGCCTTGGAGAGAAACCCACCGCACAGGACACCACACTGTTTCCTTTTAGTCTGTGTTCTTTACTGCTTTTCGTTACAGCCACCTTCTGAAAATCAAGGTAAAAATGGAAATGAGAACCTAGCATTACTTACTGCCAACGTTTCACATCTTAACAAACATTTTAGAGCTGTTAGTAATGATTATAATGGTTATTTTATTATTTTACACACATCTAATTGTTGTTTAAAGCTGAGATAAGTGTCCTGGGACGTGCTTCCTACATCTAAGGCTGTTGATAGATCTGGTTTGTCAGACTCTCTCTTTATTTCCATTTCTCTTAAGGCAAAAAAAAAATTCACTAGTACATGTAGCCCCTTTATTGCCCAAATCACACGGAAGACCTACCATTTCCCCAGGCTGTGGTGCACATTCTGTTAGGCATTTGGACTACAATCAGACAAAAAAAAGAATCCTTAAAAGTCATCACAACAATGACAGGCATCTACACAATGAAACAAAGTTTAAAAGCAAAAGGGCAAAGGGAAAGTAGCCCAACTTTAAATATCTTTATTTAAGATATTTAAATATATCTTAAATATATTAAGTACTTTAAATATCAAAAGTACTTTAAATATTAAAAAAAAAAGGCATCTTGGAGGTTTACCTGACTCATTAGCCCCTCTTAATATCACAGGGAATAGAAATTTTAAATAATATCCAAACAAATGTCCCATGAATCTGCTGATCTGTGATGTGCCAGCTCAATCCCTCGCGACAGGAATTTAAGAAACAGCCATTCAGACCCTGCTGCTCTCAAAAATCTTTCAAGATGAGCTTAAGAGAAGCATCATCTGGTTTTAATTAGCACCTCAGACCAGCTCTCCCTCAATAGTGTCAGACTGTAGAGTGGCATAGCTGCAATGCTGGACAGAAAACCCTTTAGGTTGGAGGGAAGCAACTGCTGCCGTGCGTCAGCAATCCCGGCTGATGGAACTCAACTCCAGGGAATCCTGTCCTGGCTCAGAATAACAACAGAGGAACCACAAGAAATGAGGTTTTTACAGAAGAAAGTTACTCAGGAAGGAAAAAGAGCTAGTCAGAACACTGCAGACTCCCTTCCTTCCCAAGGAAAACCAGAGCAAAGGGCTTTTCATGGGTGATTCCCCAGGTTTCAAGAGAACAATTGGAGATTTTCCTAATTGCTGTGAGCGGAGGCTCCTCAGAGGATCCACTGCAGCTCTGCCTGACTTCAGTGCAGGGCAGCAACGACAGGAAGGGCTGCCACTGGATTTGTGAGTGAGTAGCAGGGAAAACAACACAGCTAACCTCTTGGTAAAGGCAGGACAGGCTGGACAGGAAGGGAAATGCACCTCACTAATGTTTAACCTTTGCTGAAGGTCTAGTGTAGCTTTTTCATCGTGTGGCTGTTCGTGGATTGAACTGCAAATCACAAGTTTACTGTCATCCTCAGGGTGGGTGGCACCTGGGAATGTGGGAATGGGTTGTTCCAGGAGGAGCAGGAACTCCACATCCTTACAAGGATTTGTCAAGAAGCAGTGCTGATAGAGATTGAGGAGAATCTCAGTTTCCCTCCTGTAAAAGTCAGAGTCAAGGATGCTGTCTACCCTGGATGAAAGGACAATCTAGTGGAAGAAAACAGCCATATCCTTCTGCATCAAATCCAGCTCATGTGAGCAGCAGGATGGAAAGGGAGGGACTGAGGGATAACATCACAGAACAGCCCATTTTTGACCTGCCTTGAAGAAAAAAAAACAAAACAAAACTCCATCAATGAAGAGTAAGGAAATAAATAAATAAATAAATGGAAAGAGATCCTGACAAAAAAACCAAGTTCAGGTTTAGCAATAGAGCTGCCTGATTTTCAGACTGAGGTTATGATCTCCAATAAACCACACTCTGTAAGAGAAAACAGAGTGTGGAAGTCAACTTCCAACTGAAGGAAGGCAGAAGGAATCAGTACTTTAGCTAATGTTCCACAAAAAGCCCTCAGGTGAAAAGCAATTCTCCCCTGGTGTACTCCTTGAAGTCACAAATTGCTCTCACACACACACACACCTTCTCTCCTACTTCAATCTCCTAAAGCTGGTGAGGATTTGTAATCAGCAAGAGCTGCCTTTGCAAATGGCCAAGTTATCAGGAAATGAAATAAAAGCCTTATAAATGGCCAGGAGTTTCAAAGTGACATCAATGGGAAGCGCTCGTGCGCTGTCAGCACGAGGATTTCACCATTTGGCACGGGCAGTCCTTCAAGAAACGTTCAAATAACACTGATTTAATCTCATGACTTGAATTTCTGGGCATGCTCAATTCAGTGATTGCAAGAAAACAAGCCAAAAAAAACCCCAAACAAACAAACAAAACTCTGTTCATCAGCAGAGGATGTTATTTTGTTCCCCTGAGTAAGAGAACATTGATTTTTTTATAAAACTGTGTCCAGCAAGCGTATTCCAGAGAAACTTCAGGAAAAATGTCTTTCCTGTGAGGGTGTTGGAGCCCTGGGACAGGCTGCCCAGAGAGGGTGTGGAGTCTCCATCTCTGGAGATGTTCAAACCCACCTGGACACTTTCCTGTGTGACCTGGTGTAGGGACCTGCTCTGGCAGGGGGGTTGGACTGGTTGATCTCCTGAGCTCCCTTCCAACCCCCACCAGTCTGGGATTCTGTGATTCCTCCACTTCAGCATCAACAGGAAGAGATTCTCCTTGCCTGCCTGTCAGGGTTTAATGTGTTAAAAACACATACTTGTACAACACAAGGGCATGCAGGAAGCCAGGAGCTGGGTGTTAGCCTCAGTGACTGAGCTCTGTGCCAGCTGGGCTGGTGGTGGGGCAGGCAGCTCATGCCCATGCTCGTTTCACTTGCAGGCACCCCAAACAACACAAACCCTTAAGGACAAGGGTTAAGGTCACCCACCCTTGTGTGGTGGCTACTACAAGATTATTTCCATGTCTGTATTTTTAGCAGCTTTGCCCACTCAAATGCCAAGTGTTTATATGACAAGCAAAGGTGCTTCTGCCACTCACCAGGAAGGTGGGGTTTTTTTTCTCCTGATATTCTTAATTTCATTACTCCTACTTCCATCCCTTGTTCCACACTAAATTCTTCCTCCTCCCGCCACATTAACTACTCTACACACGAAGAGGTGTTTAACCTGTTGGACAAGTGATTCAGTGTCAGATGGCAACAAACTCTTTATGATTCTACCCCGTTATACCCCAAGAAACAAAAACCACTTCACCCCAGCAAGTCTTATTGCTGGGAAAACATCAACACAGGGACCAGGAACGTTTTTCATCACAGCAAATTCCTGTGTGATTCCTTTTGTTAGAACATTTTCCATACAGTATCACTATTGTATCAGCTACATCTGAAGATTTACTGGTTAAAAGAAAGTCTCCCTCACAAAAGAAATGGTGGGAGGCAGAACTTCGTATCATTTTAAATCTAAGTAGACATTGGAAGCCTTTACCAGGTGATAAAATATATGTTGCTTGATGTTACATGGAACAAAACATTTTCTGCCATCAAAGTAGAGTTAACAGTTGGATATAACTGAAATATATAGTTAATAGTTCAATAGAACTAGAATATATGGTTAATAGTACAATATAACTGCAATATTATAGTTAATAATTCAATATAACAGCAATATATAGCTAATAATACAATATAACTGCAATATTATAGTTAATAATTGAATATAACTGCAATATTATAGTTAATAATTCAATATAACAGCAATATATAGCTAATAATACAATATAACTGCAATATTATAGTTAATAATTGAATATAACTGCAATATTATAGTTAACAGTTCAATATAACAGCAATATATAACTAGTAATTCAATATAACTGCAATATTATAGTTAATAGTTCAATAGAACTATAATATATAGCTAATAGTTCAATATAACAGCAATATATAACTAATAATTCAATACAACTGCAATATTATAGCTAATAATTCAATATAACCGCAATATTATAGTTAATAGTTCCATAGAACTAAAATATATGGTTAATAGTTCAATATAACAGCAATATTATAGTTAACAGTTCAATATAACTGAAATACATATTTAAAAGTTCAATAGAACTAGAATATATGGTTAATAGTCCAATGTAACAGCAATATTATAGTTAATAGTTCAATAGAACTACAATACATGGCTAATAATTCAATATAACTGCAATATATAGCTAATAATTCAATATAACTGCAATATATAGCTAATAATTCAATATAAATGTAATATTATAGTTAATAATTCAATATAACTGTAATATTATAGTTAATAATTCAATATAACTGTAATATTATAGTTAATAATTCAATATAACTGTAATATTATAGTTAATAGTTCCACAGAACTAAAATATATGGTTAATAGTTGAATATACCAGCAATATGTAGCTAATAGTTCAATAGAATATAGTTGGTAATTACTCATTGCACCCAAGCTTTGGAGTGAGAGGGTTGTACAAAAAAAAAAAACCCAAAAATATTTAAAAAACTTAAAATAAAATAAGAAATAAATAAAATGATCCATCTCATGAAGTTCCAGGGACACAAAGCAGGAGGGAGACTCTGCTCTGCGCAGGCTCTTTCCCATGAACATTTTTTGCTAATTAGAAATGCACACAGTGGATTTTCAGATGATTAATACAGGCAACAGGTCAGGAAATCTGGCAGCAGCTTGGAAATCAGCTTCTTTTAAATTATTTTTTAAAAGAAATTTCAAAGCTGGCAAATTGCAGCATCCCAGAACACCTGCCACGTGAGCCCTGAGAGGATGAGACAGTTTTTATCCCACCTTCAGCAAAAGATCACAGCAAATCTGAGCAGAAACCAAATAATTTGAGTATATCAAGTATTTTAGCTGTGAAGGAACAAGTCTTGCTTTAAACTGCCCAGCTCTACCAGAACATGTTTTATTAAACATCAGCTAAGCAGAATTGTTTGCAAGAGGGATTTTTGTGTGTTGCACTAGCTGGAATGCTTCTTCACTTTTTAATACAAATAATAAACACAAATTGGGAAGAGGAGATGAGCAGGCAGAGGGATGACACACGTGTCACACACCCCAGTCACCTCCTCGGCTCTGGCCACATCACACCTCGTTTCAAACAGCAACAGTAAAAGTGGCAGCAAAGGTTGTCTCTTCTCTCTTCACTTGGGTACTAGATGTTAATAATATTTGAAATATATTAACAGGAATATTCAACCCAGTTCACTGGCAAACACGCTGATTTCCAAACCCCATCTTACAGATTTCAATCTCTGAAATCAAACCTCGTTATTCAGGCACAAAGTAAAAAGAAAATTTAAAGTGTTTTCATTGTTTTCATCGATAAAATTTCACAGAATATCCCAACTGTTATTGAAATTCAGCACTTAAAGGGAAGGGAATCTGCCTGGGAAGGTTCTCACCTCGGTGTCCCAAGAGTCCTGAAGGACAGTATTCCTCGTACTGCGCTTGGTCTGGGGAACGTGGCCGTCATCTTCGTTGCCATTGCGTCTCCTCTTCCTGAGGAAAGTTCAGGGAGAAAACTAATTATCAGTTGATTGATAGACCTTCTGTTTTGTTCTCTAAAGGCAACCCCACAAAAAAAAAACAACCCAGGAAAATTTGATAAATGAATGGAGGATGTGTCCAAACCTCTGGCATGCTGCAGACCTTCACGTTCTCTCTTAGCTGTTCTCTACAGACCAGAGAGAAAACGATCCCATTTCTCACAGAGCAGCCAGGCTGATGATTTTATATCAGCTCAAGGGATGTGGACTCACACCCACAGCTAAAACCACCCTGACAGAGCTGCAAGTCCAGTCACATCCCCTAAAACCACTCTGGCAGAGCTGGAAGTGGAGTCACAACCCCTAAAACCACTCTGGCAGAGCTGGAAGTGGAGTCACAACCCCTAAAACCACTCTGGCAGAGCTGGAAGTCCACTCACATCCCCACACAACATTATTTTCCACGGGGAAAGAAAGTTTTGCCAGAAAACACCTCAGGGAAGACAAATCCTGCCCTGTTTCTGACATCTCTGCCATCCACTCACGACATCAACAGCAGCTGATCAACAGCAGCAACCTGGAATTCCTGCAGAACAACGTCTCTCACCATCTGCAGGATTTTAATCCTGATCTCAAATTGTTTCTCCCCACAATACAAACAGCCCAGCTCAAGCAGGCACACTGACAACACCCAGAGCAGAGGACAGAGCCACTTCAGTGGCTAAGAAATAAAACTCACTGAAATGACTCAAAACAGACTCCAAGGAGATATTTCTAACGGCATCATTTCTTACAGACAAGCCCCTGCAGCAGACTCAGCTGCCTGTATTTGGTTCACACCCACACACAGGGAGCTGCCTCCTCACTCTCCCGGCCCTGGGGTGCCCACAGAGCTCTCAGTCGTTGTCCACCAGCTTCTCCCTCTCCTCTGACCACTCTTTTTAGAATCAGAGAATCCTTTGGTTGGAAAAGACCTTTGAGATTGAGTCCAACTGTACCTGTCCACTGCTAAACCAGATCTCTGAGCACCTCATCTACCTGGCTTTTAAATCCCTCCAGGGATGGGGACTCCACCACTGCCCTGGGCAACCCCTTCCAATGCCTCAGAACCCTTTCAGCAAAGAAATTCTTCCTCACATCCAACCTGAACCTTTCCTGGTGCAACTTGAGGCCATTTCCTCTTGTTTTATCATTTGTTACCTGGGAGAAAAGACACACCCCCCCTCTCTATTCCCCTCCTGGCTCCACATTTGTGTCACCTCCAGATCTCCCCTTTTCTTAGAGCCTGCAGCCCACGAGCAAACTCAACACCTCCACCCACCACGGCCTCCCCTGCCCCCTCACAACTCCAGGCACTCACAGCCCAGCTCCTCCAGGATTCATGGTCCCTCCTGTTGTCTCCCTCATCCTAAATCCTCCTCCCCTTCCCCACCAGGCTGAGCAACACCCCCCACCACACCGCAGGGTTTCCCATCCCTCTCCTCTGCGTTCTCTACATCAGTTTGATCTCCCAAATACAGCCAAACACCCTCCTCCCAGGAACAGGTTGCCCAGGGCAGTGGTGGAGTCCCCATCCCTGGAGGGATTGAAGAGTCATGTAGACACAGTGCTGAGGGACATGGGTTAGTCACAGGGGACTGGTCAGGGTGAGGTTAATCCGCCTTCCAGCAGAGGCTACAAAGATGATTAAGGGGCTGGAGCATCTTATGAGGAAAGACTGAGAGAGCTGGGGCTGTTCACCCTGGAGAAGAGCAGGACCTTATCAATACTAATATCTAAAGGGACCTTATCAATGTTTATCAACATCTAAAGGGCGGGTATCAGGAGGATGGAGCCAGACTGCTCAGTGGAGGACAAGGGGCAACGGGCACAAACTGGAACATGGGAAATTCCAGCTGAAGATGAGGAAAAACTTCTTTCCTATGAGGGTGTTGGAGCCCTGGGACAGGCAGCCCAGAGAGGG